GTGGTGAGGGTGGCTGTGAGGGCTGATGGGAGCTTTGGAGGAGCAGGAGGCTGTGAGGGGTCACAGGGAAGGACTGTGAGGGGGGTGCAGGCCAAAATTTAGGGAGTGTGAGGGGTGACAGGGACTGTGAGGAGTGATGGGTGTCAGTGAGGGGCAATGTGGGGCAGACATGGTGGTTGTGGCAGTGTCGTGATAAGAGTATAGAAATTTGGTGGTAAAGAAACCCCTTGTTAGCCAGCTGGTCATTAGGGATCAGAGAGGGTGAGGGTAGCTGGGCTTAAGCTCTTATTATAACTTGTTTGGTACTATAAGTGGTTGTGTTCAATAGGAAGTTCCATGAGCACAGGTCCTCAAGCAGGGCATGTTCAATACTGAGTCTGGTAATGTTCAATAACAACTTTCACCATCACAGGTTCATGAATAGTATGGTTTATTGAAGCGGCAGAAGTGTAAGGGGGAATGGAAAGTGAGAATAACTGTAAGGTAGTATGTTTTAATTGGATTTTCAGAAGAAATTCTTTACTTAGAGGATGGTGAAGCCCTGGCACAGAGTGCCCAGAACAGCTGTGGCTGCCCCTGGATCCCTGGCAGTGCCCAAGGCCAGGCTGGGGAGGGCTTGGAGCAGCCTGGGACAGTGGGAGGTGTCCCTGCCATGACAGGGGGTGGAACTGGATGAGCTCTAAAATCCCTTCCAACCCAAACCATTGTAAGATTCTATGAAACAATAGATTTGGAATTGCCCTAGATGGATGCACTAGCTGTGGTAGAGTTCTAACAATAGCAGTAGTATAGTGTTAGCTCAGGTAATAATAATCATAATCATTTTATGTAGAAGCTTACAATGAATGCTTGGGAGGAGGGAGAGGAGACTAGTAGCCCATCATCTGTTTCTGAGGTCCTTTTGGGTCTTCCTCCTAACTAGGTGAAATTTTTACCCTCCTTATATACACCCCAATCTTATCTCCCTCCTCCTTCTTCACATATAGCATGATCTAAGCAGAGAGCAATGTAATACTGTAATATATGTGAGACTAAGGTACTTAATGAAGGCAATTAGCATATGCAGGGTTTGTTGGGGTTCTTTTTTTGTGGTTTTTGTTTTGTTTTTTTTTTATAATGGTGTCCTTCGAAGTTCTGGTCATACAACTTTGTTCTCATTTGCTTCATTCTTCAGAGCAAGAGCAGGATCATTGCATCTCCACAGGACCTGCTCCTTCAGGGCCTTTCCTGACATCAGCTGTGCAGCTCTCCATGCACAGAGATAACACAGAGGGTACACAGCACTCACTGTAGGTGTTGAGCCTCAGCCCTTGCTTGGCTCCTTGGTCATTATCCCACAGAGAGCAGTGCTGAGTGAGGAGAACTTGGGCTGTGCTCCTGCCCTGGGGCCTGGGAAAAGCTCAGAGCAGATGTTAGAAACAATTGCTGCCTTTGGAAAGCTTTAAAATCTGACTATTGTGTCTGGTTTTTTTTGTTTTTTTTTTTTTTTTTTTTTTGCAAAGCCTACAATGGCCAGGACAGAAATTGGTTCGTTTTAAGGATGAAGGATTTCCATAGTGTTTATTTGACTTGGCTTGGCAGCAATGCTCTGTTTACGACTGGATAAATAACTGCCACATTAAAGATTATTAACTAGCTATGCTTCAGTGGCCAATAAAGCACTAATCTTTTATATGGTGTTGTATATGTACACAGCTTGGTACGGCTGGATCTTGCCAAAGAGATAACAAATCCCTTACCTGGAAGTTTTACAATCTAAAGGAAACCACAAAGGACCACAAAGAAAGTACTAAACATGATAATGAAACATAAAATACACAGAGGACTTGGAGCCATTTGCAGCTGCATTTTAAGGGTCTTAAGAGGGTGTTTTATATTTACCTTAAAGCTCCTGAGCTGAGAGGTAAGATAAAATCCTAGGTTTGGGTTGGAAGGGACCTCAAAGCCCAGCCAGTCCCACCCTGTGCCGTGGGCAGGGACAGCTTCCATTAAAGCAGATTGCTCCAAGCCCTGTTCTACCTGCTCTTGAACACTCCCAGGGATGGAGCAGCCACAGCTTCTCTGGGCAACCTGTGCCAGGGCCTTGTCACCCTCACTGAATAAACCTTTTCCTAATGCCTGGTCTAAATCTCCCCTCTTTCAGTTTAAAACCATTCCCCCTTTTCCTGTCAGTACAGGCCCTGCTGAAAAGCCTGTCCTCACCTTTCTTGCAGACCGCTGTTAAGTCCTGAAGACAGACACAGCAGGCACTGTGCTGGGACAATTGGTCAGTGGGGTCTTGGGCTGTGCTGTGCCTCTGCCTCTGCTGGTGGCCAGGCAGGGCAGTCCAGAGCCCCAAACTGGGAGAAGCAGTAAGCAGTCCTTGCAATGTGCTTGCTTTAAGGCTTCCTTGTGACTGGATAATCTGTGGACAGCAATGGACTCGTGTCATGGAGCATGAGAGCCACTTCCAGAAGCTGTGATGAGAAATCGTTTGTTTATCCAAATATAAATTGGAATAAAATACATTATTTTTTATTCACTTGTGTTTAATTCTGCAGGGCCCTAAAGGACATTCCACACATTATGTTCCTTGTGCTAAATGAAGCTGAGCTAGCAAGGAAAGCAGGTTTAAAAGAGGATGAAAGTAGATGGAGAGGTGTGAGGACAGAGATAAGTGTGGGCAGCATTTTGTAGGAGGATGGAAAACTTTCATCTGTCTTCAGTATTTATAGATCCTGTCACTGTAATATGTGAGACATGTATTTTGCATACTTGGGCTCATGGTGCCCCTCTGAGGTAAAGCAGCGCTGCTGTTCTCACGTCCCTCCCAGGAAACTGCAGCAGAGACAATGTGTCACATGGGGAAAAGGAAGCTGGGGACTGATAGGCTTTGGAAAAGCAGGAGCAGGCACAAGGAGAGGGACCAGACTCACAGAGTTTCTCTCCTGAAATGTGAACCATTATTGGAGCTGAACATACTGTTTGGCCAGATCACTGTTCTCAGTGTTCCGAAGGTAGGAAGGCTCTCTCCGAGCTTCTGTCCTCATGCTCAGTGGTGCCTTATTGAGAGATAATTTAGGAGTATAATGGTGACTAAAGCCTCTGCGTTGCCTGGTGTTTTTACCTAATTCTGGTACCCTGGGTGCAGTAGGGGAATGGAGTTCAAGGAGGCAGAGATAAGATAAAGGCACAGAGATAAGATCACCGTGGGGAAATCTTTCAGGAGGGGCCGGTGTGAATGCATGATAAAAGGTGACAGCAGTCTGTGGATTTATGGTGAAAATGGCAGATGATACAGTAGAATGGATGTGAAACTTTGGAGCCTGCGTGGCTGTATGAGTAATCTCCACCAACCTGTGTTCAGGCTGTTGGACTGTCTGTGGCTGTGAGAGAGAGGGTGAAGGCCTTGCTTGAGTAGCTGGCTGATGGCTGCTGCAAAACATGTTTGAATGCATCCACTCCTCTTCCTGGAGGAAGGTGTTCATTGCTGGCAACGTTACAGAAGCCAAGGAATGCCAAGGCTCTCTAAGTCCTAAACCCTGCAGTGGTTCAAATAAAGAGGAAGACCTGGCTAGCCCCGGGCATGGAGGGCAGTGAGTCTATGGAGACTTTTGAGGGATGAAAGAAGGATCTTTGTTTATATCTAGCTAGTTCCCAGAGTTATTTCATGTAGCATGAAATAAAGTAGTTCTGCAAGAGCAGTGTTGGGTGAAGCCTGTGACCTTTGGGCTTTGTGCCTTACTGATGGTGGTTTCTCTCTCTCTTCTCTGAAGAACAAGTGAGCTCATACTGAACCATTCCTTTATGTGGGAATGCTATTCCCCCTGAACATACATTTTCCAGAACCTACAGGAACAGAAATTTCTCTGCTACGTACAGTTGGATATCTCACATTTTCTTATTAAACCAGGTTGGAGTTACAGACTAGGCACAGGATGTAATGGACGCCTTTTGACAGAGGCAGTGGAGGGACTGGAAAGCTGGACTGGGAAACAGAAAAAAAAAGCAAGTGAGGAATGGGTAAGTGGATGAAATTATCCATCTCATGAGACCTATCCTCATGTGTGTCCAACAGCCTTGGAGAGGAGATTTGCACTGGTAAGGTGCAGAGGAACAGCTGGAGAATCATCAGAGAATGCCAGGAGGAACAGAAGGGTCTTAGGCCCAAACCTAAGCTGGGCTAGTAAGACAGTGGCTTTGCTGGTCCCGCAGCAATGGGATTTGCCCTGGGTTGCTTGCATGGGAAGCTGATAAGCCTCGGCAAAGTCTGACCTCCTGTGGGTAAAACTGGGAATTACTATGGGATAATTAAGCAAATCTTTTTCCTATCACGTGCCAGCATCTTAATGAGAGATTTGCTCAGTGGTGTGGATCACTTCTCTGCCACTTCCAGCAGCCAGACGTGGTTCTTCCCCTTTAGATGAGCTGCTGATGTTACTCCTGGCAATGGAGGTGAGGCCCATGGTTCCAAAACTGGGAGAGTGCTGGTGGATTTTTTAATGACACAAAAGGAATGTGGTCACAAAGGCAGCTGAGCATTTCTCTGTCACTGCAACAAGTACTCTGTGAACACTGTGTTTTCCATTTGGTTGGATGGGTTGTAGCCAGCTTTCCCTGTTTCTTTGTCCCTTCCCCACATATGGCAGCTCATGCCTTTTAGGGGTGACGTTAGTCACATTGTACCATGAATGTGAAAGGTTGTCTTGTGGTACTGAGTGATGCTCTTGGTGTGGAGAGGGGATTTGTGAGAAAGGAATTAGCAGTTTCCCTTTAGGATTACTTTAATGCCCCTCCTCCATGAGGAGACTGCAGTGATGTGTAGTTCGTTCCCAGCATATTGCACCAGGTATTCCAGAATGGGATGTTGCTTGTTAGGATCCAGCTTTGGCTGCAGGTGCTGCTGTGGTGTTCCACACCTGCTAGGATCCAGTCCAGAGAGATTCCTCTGGCTATTGGGCATCTTTGGAGCACTCTTACCCACTCTTGACTCTGGAGGACGAGAGTTCATTGCAGAAGGATCTTGCACATGACAGTTTTCATCCCCCTGTATGGTGCCTGCCTGATGACCTGTGGGATCTTAGGGAATGACTCATAATCCAAGGGCTTTTCCTGGGAAAGTGGCTCTGAAGGAGTTTGGTTTATTCCAAGTGCAGGTGTATCTTATAAGCACCACGGACTGTTGATCAGTCACACGCTACAGACATGGATACATAACTAAACATTGCTTAATTTATGCCGTGCACTGTCTGTGATGTTGGCTTGATCCCTTTCTTTCCCCTGCACTCCGCCACACCAGCTCAAACACAGCACTGCCTTTTCACAGGAGGCTCATTGCCTTTCATCAGGCAAAGCAGGAACTTTTTTTGGGAACTGGCACCCTCATGGTATTATGTTTCTGTCTGGGCTGCTGGCTCTGGGTCTTCAGGATCTCTGGTGCATTTACCTCATAGTGTGATTGAGCAGCAGCAGTGAGGGACCTGCAGAGTTCACAGCAAAGGTGGCTGGACAAGTAAGTTCAACACCAGGCTGTGATCCCATGGATCTGCTTTTTAGAGACCTGAGAATAGGCTGAACCTCCCTGGGTGAAGGATAAGAGAATATGGTGCCCAGATAGCCTTTGCCTGGAGAGGGATCCTGTCTGTCCCAGCCAAACAGCCAGGGCAGGCTTAGCTCTCAAGGGGGCTTTACACCAAAATCCATGGCACTGGGTGCTCTCAGGCCTGCCTGTGTTCTCCTCTAAGGCAAAGCAAAACCTTCAATTAGTGTTTCCAGAAGGTGTGAAATAGAGCTGGAGGAAAAGCAGGCTTGGTGGTGCTCTGGCCCAGGCCTGGTCCTTGCAGCCTTCATACCTGTGCTGGAGCATGAATTGCTACTCTGTGCTGGTGCCCCTCACCCCTCTGCAACTCTATTTTCATTAGTGTGTGCTCTTTGGTTAAGGACCCTTCTCACTTCCAGCTGAACAAACACTTTCCATCGCGTGTAAAATCCAGCTTGGTGCTAATAGGCGTCTCCCCCACCTTCCTCCCTCCCCTTTACCACCTTTTCTGCAGCTGGCAGGACAAAAAAGTGTCGCTATTACCTGACTTATTATCAGCACGGGACTGTAATTTATGACATATGCTTGGTCGAGTGCCATGCTGAAAACATTTATGGCCCTCTTTGAGTCCTGCGGGGTGGTGGGGAGGGCAATGGCTGTGGAGGGGAAGCCAGTTGTTCCACCCATGCAAAATACAGCACAGTCCAAAAGCTTCCTCTGCCTTCTGACAGCAGCACTGTGGGCAGTAGGCTCAGCACTCTGCTCTGATGTCAGTGGGTTGAGACACCAGTGCCTAGAACAGATGCAAGATTTTTCTCTCCTTAGGAAACACACAGTTTCTCCCTTAGGAAATTTATTGAATTCCCTATCTTTATTGCTTTTAGTCCTGTACAATCTTACCCCTCAGGCAGGATCTCAGAACCTGCCTTTCTTGTGTTCTTCATACAAGTGTCACCTGCTCTTTTCTCCCCTGGCTACAAGTCCCTGTTCTCTCTTGGGAGGGTCTGCAGCAGCTGCCCCATCTGCAGCAGGTCAAGCACAGGAGCTGTGAAAGGAGGCATTACAGCAGCACAGCTGCCCTCCAGCAACCAGATTCACGCTCTGTCTGAAGGAAACAACCTGATTGTTTAGTTCTCCACGTTTGGAGCTGAAAGTGTGGTGTGGAGAGAAGGGGGCAAATGAATTGTCATTGCTGTAGGTGGGCTAGGTTTGAATAGCAATATAAAGGGCAAGGGAAAGTCGTGTCAGCAGTGACTTTTTTCAGTGACTGAAGAGAGACTTATGAGAAATGAGACTTTATATCCCAGTCTTGAGATGAGTGATATCAAAATTTGGCACGGGAAAGAGTTTTTTACACTGGGCTATTTGCTGATAACTGAAAAGTTAATGTTGACTCTTGGGCTCCTCTCAGGAAAACACCATTGTTCACATTTCAGAGGTATTTGGAGCTTGGCTGTCTGGTCTGTCCACTTGTTGTGTTTCAAAGGATGGGAGTAGAGATCATCCAAAACATTTCCCAGTTTCAGGAGCACACTTTCCCTGGAGCTGCTCAGTTAGAAGGAACATTTGCTTGGCCTGCAGTGAGGCGGGCTCTCTGTACACTGTGGGGAGGGATCACATGGCAGTTTGTCCTCTTCCTTTGGTTCAGGCTTTGCCAGCTTCTGGGTGAGAAGTAGGTCTCTGCAGCCCTCTGCTTCAACAGTGCCATGTGTTCATTCAGGTAAAGGAGACGTTCTGGCTGGGCTCGAGTCCTGGATGCTCTCTGCTGATTGCTGTCTGAAGGTTTGCAAGATAAAGCCTTGAGAGCTGGGTGACATAAGGAGATGTGTGAAGCCCACAATGCCAAGCTAATGCTGCTTCCAGAGTCATCATCTCTAGCTGCTGTTATTTCTGGATGTCTTGTCCAAAGGGTCTCAATGCTGAAGGTTTGGTCTGAGAGAATGCCTTGAGCTGGAGTTGCTTCATTCCTGCTGTGTTGGACAGAATGTGTGTTTTGGAT